TGATTTTGATTGCTATGTAGGTTACAGTGTTCAGTTTTCTGTATGCACTTGTATTTAAGCAATTCCTACTCTACCGGGTAGAGTAGGCATTTTATTGCAATAAATGTTTGAGCAGTTTTAGTCTTTAAAAAGTGCCTTTTGTGAGGTAACTCCTGAAATCTAAAATAAGAAAGTACAGTAGAAGAAAAAGGAAAAGGAGGGGATTGCGGGGGGAAGCCTGCCAGAGCAAACAAATCTGGAAACAGAAACTACCAAGTTTATGTGCTGTTGTTCTTCTCTTGCAGCATATGCTTTTGTCCTGTTTTGTTGATGAAATAGGGCTTTTACAGTCTTTCTGTCTCCCCAGTCCTTCTGTCAGGGCTGTCAATGATTCTTTAGCTACTCTCCAGCTCCACTGAAGTGAAGTAGCAGTCTCAGACTCTTGAGTTCCTACAAGTTTTGGGGAAGTGACTACTCAGTAGACAAAGGAGACAACAACTTTAGGGAAAGGAGGAAGTCACAACCCAGTCCCATGTTCCCTCCTGAAGGCAGTGGCTGATGAGCAGTGAAACTGAGCAGACTGGTCCCTCGTGCACATACATGATGCCTGTTACCCACTCAGACACTAGGGATGGAAGGTCACAGGGGAAGGGGCAGATGATGCATCTGTAGGCATCCAGGTTTGTTGCAGTAACTTCACTGCATAGCTTACCTCAGTAGGCAATCCTCACAGAATCAAATCTCTTGATTCTGTCTTTGGTTTTAGGTAGGCCAGGACAAATGTAAAAAACATTTCTTTTCCTGAAACAGCGTGGATCTCTTGTGGTCCTCTTCAGCTTCATGATGTACAATTTTCAGCTTCTTCTGGACATCTTCTACTATACATAGAACTTTTCTATGTTTTTAACTGCTGTATTATAAATTCCAATTAAATTATCTACCCATTGGTCTGGCACCTCTCAAGGCCTCACCAGTCCCTGCTACGGGAAGGGCATCACACCCTGTGCTGCATGGAGTGGGGACCAGCCTGACCTCTCAGGTTTCTGCTTTCTAGCCATGCCAACAAACACCATCTGGATTTCCTTTTCCGCTAAGAGCAGATGAGGCTCTACAGAAAGAATAGTGGGCCATTTTGGAAAACCAGTCAGAGACATGCAGGACAGTAATGAAATCTAGGTGGACATCCCATGATGTATTTTGTTTGGGCACTTCTGGTTTTTGAAACTGTTGGTTACAATTATTGACAGTTTCCTTGATTTAGTAGGGTTTATCTCTCTGGAAGCAAGTACTTTTTTCTAGTTTTTTGTTTTTTGTTTTTTTTTTTTTTTTAAATGAAGCAGAGCATTTTTAGAAAAAGTGACTGCTTTTCAAGAAAATAATTCAAGTTACCAGTGCTAAGAAAACCTCAAATATAGAATCAAGATGCCTAACGCAAATACTTCCACATCCCAGTGTATACCAGAGTTTGGATACTGGGAACATTATTTTCTGTGGACCGTGTTTCCCAGACAGAGTAAATCTGCCAGGATATGCTGTGATTTTCATGTATTAAGTGATCAAGATAGATTTAGCCCTGAGTAATAAACCCAGTATGTAGGCAAAAGGGGAGGAGTAAAGCACCTAGTCTACATTTGTGTTTACGTACTGTGGCAGATAGATAAGCTTCACAAATCCTGCCATTTACAGGCTGGTGGTGTACTGTCATCCAGGTTCGGAGATCATCTCCATTAGAGTTACTAATTTTCACTCAATATTTGGAGCAGTTGGTCCTTAGAAAATAAAATGTTGCAGACTGATTCTCACACCCATGTCGCCAGAATAATCTCTTTCGTTTTCCTTTTCATACAGCAAATCTGCTGTAACTTACGTAAAATGGGAGCTGAAATATTTCAGTAGAAATGCAGATCACTTTGAAGTGAACAGAGAACAGAGTTGTCTTTTGCAGTCCTTGGACTTCATCCAAACAGGATTTCTAGTTGTGTACATGCAGTTACCCAGTGATAGGGGACACTTGAAATCTATGGCCCAAGATTTTTGAAAACAAAATCTACTGAAAGCCAAGAGTTGATATGTGAAGTAATTGTAATGGACTCTTCTAGCCTGGAGAGCATGGCTATTTATTAGATTATCACCCCTGCAAGGTACCTCCATGGGCTTTGGGCCTCTGCATCAGGGCAGTATTTTTTTTCCTGTTGCATGTAGATGTTCCCTTGCTTTCCCCATTGTCCATTTCTTTCTAGTTCTATTAAAGAGCTAACTTGTTGAACTTGGTGGTCAGCTTATTTCAGAGCTGCCAGGTCTCCCAGAAATTCATATATTTTGGATACAGGACTGTACCTGTGATAGGACAGGTTTACATCAGCTGTCATTTATATTGTTACCAGTGGTTTAGGAATGTCATTCTCCCTAGAATTTGCCAAGATGAGCACTAATTCCAACTTCATTGGCAAAAAGATGCTAAAATCTGAAAATGTCAGGGTTAAAAACAAACGCCATGGTCTGTGGAACCCCTTAAGAGTGACATTCTTTGCTCTGCCTGTGCTCGATCTTCTGTTCCTGGACCATCTGAGAAGCCAAGACAGGTGTATACTTCTTTTGCTTTTTACATCATGTCAGCTTTGCCACCCAGCTGTAGGCTATATTTGCATAAAGCTCCTTTCCAGGGACTCCAGCACAAAATGTAAGCAAGCAGCCTCCTCTGCTGAATGAGCAGTTCCCTTCTCCTCAGAGACCCAGTGTACCCTTTCCGTCACACACTCAGTCTTGCCTAGCCTGTGGCACAAGAGTTTCAAGTCTGTCTTGCACCTGATTCGTCTTTGGATGTCAGCATTCAGAGCTGCTGCTTGCTGCAATTGCCCCAGGCCTTTGCACATCTAAATGGGTTTTAATGCCAGCTCAACATAAGCATAAGTGCGTAAGGAAAAGATGCACGGGGTAAAACACAGGATGCCATCCCTAGAAAGCCCTGCAGAGCTTCTCAGCTCTTCATTTCTCAGGTAAATACATAATTGATAAGAAACAAGAGGGGAGCTGAGTAGCTTTGCAGTGGTGTAGAACTGCTAATGGAATATATTTTGAACTCAGTGAAATCAAAAGGTCTTGTTTTCAGATTATTGACATCAGGTCATTTTATCTGATTAGATATAGAAATCTGTCATGCAGTAATATGAAATTATGTGAGACATTTATTGTAACAGAGATGCCCATTTATCTTCAAGATTTTTATTATAAAATGCAACATCTTACCATCAAAGGTTAAGACTTCCATCTAACCTTCCATAAAAGAACAGTGAGTAGATGACTCTGTTAATATGCATTCTTAGTTATCTATGGGCTGGAGTCAATTCTTCCATTAGGAAGCCTAAAGATAGTGTTGACCTATAAAAGGGTACCTGCACAAATTCAATTAAGCATGTTTTATTTTTCCTATGTAAACCTGCAACATTTTTATCTTCAGCACCTTTCTGCTGAGTTTCAGTTTATTAACTGTGAGTAGCACAGGCATCAAATAGCTCTCCTCTAGCAGTGTTTGCAGGGAGCATGCGCTTCTGCATTCTTTTTTCAGCTTCCCTTCTTGCTGGTGTTTCTAAGTTCAGTCAGTATTTGGACAAAGAAGCAGATTTATTTTGGAACTCCAGGCTCCAGATCCCTACACTTTATGCAATCTGTTGAGGAGCTGAACAAATGAACAATGGTATACCTAGTTCTTTCTATTTCCCGTGCTCAGGTTTGGCTAATGCATTTTCAATGTCCTTTTCCCTTTTTTGACAAATGTTTTCTGTGCAATGCTGGTTCTGCTGCAAGTGCTTCAGTTCACTTCTATGGCTTCAACATTGTTCCTTTGTTTAGCTTAAATAAAGTTTCCAGGCTGAAGCTATGAGTTTCATTATATGTGTAGGTCCCAAATTTGCAAAATAAGAAATCATCAGTTTTCAGTAACATGTTTTATCACAACATTTCAACTCCTAATGCTAATGAAGTAATGCTGGAAGTTTTTGGGAATTTTTTTTTTAATCCACTCAAGTGGCTTTAAGGGCAAAGGTCTGTCTTAAAATACTTGTCTAAGAAGTTTACTCATAGTTTGAGTGGGTTTTTCCAGGGCAACATTGAATGCTTTCTTTTCTGCTTGTATCCTACATTCCATGTTGTGAAGTAGTTTCTAAGGCTGCATTTTCAGAACAACTTTAAGGTAACTTAGTGCTGTGTGTGAGATTTGTGAGATGTCCTCCATCTCTCCTTCTAAACCCCAGAATACTAGATTTAGCTTTTACCCCTTGCTAAAACCAGTCTCCATGTTCTTGCTCATCAAATTCAATCAGAGAATGATGCAGCTTAAAATTAACTTGAGAAAAAAGAGACCTGTTTACTCTTCTTTTATGAGTCATGCCAAGGTAATGCAAATGTTGATGGCAAATTCAAGCAGTCAGTCAGTTTGAGAGACCTGGCAGCTCTGAAACATGCTTACCAGTGAGTTCAGCAGATTAGTTATTTTAGTAGAACTAGAAAGAAATGGACAATGAGGAAAGAAAGCAAACACCTACACACAGCAGGAGGGGAGATACTGCCTTCATGCGGAGGTTGTGGCCTAAGCCTGAAGAGGTACCCTGCTGGGTTGGTAATCAACAGCAGTCTTCCTTCTCTTCTCCAGGCTAGAAGAGTCCACCAGTTGCTGCATAGGTTTGGGGCAGACAAAAGTGATTGGGTAAACAGGGTCTCCTAATGACATTTATTTAAACATATTAAATCACTTTCAGAATGAAAATTCTGTATAGTTTCACATAAATCATTGTTATTTTCATCTGCAGATCCACTGTTTATCAAGATGATTTGGCTTTGGTTTGAATATTGAAACATTTTGCAATAATCAGCTTCCAAATTAAAAACAAATGAGAAAGGTATCATTGAAAAGAAAATATTAATTTTCTTAAATGTGCATTTTCCAACAACTTCGTTGTTTTCAACATTTTGCTGTTGCAGATAGCTGTGTCGTGCAACTTATTTTTCATTCTCTTGTTTTACAGATCGAATTGCACAGAATATCATTAAGTCTCATTTGGAGACATGTCAATATACAATGGAGGAATTACATCAGCTAGCATGGCAGACCCACACATATGAAGAAATAAAAGTTTACCAGAGCAAGGTACAATCCTGTAATATGCTTTATCTTCTGCTCAAAATTGTTAACAGAGTAATTTATTTGGCAAAAATACACTGTTGAAATTTGTACAGGTCAAAATAAACTTTTCACTGTCTTTGAGGAATTGAAAGCAAAGCAGTGACACTTCATAAAAAGAAGCAGCAGCTTTCCAGCATATTGGGGTCTTTGTAATGTTAAAGCTTAGCTATGGTCATGAAATCCAGTTTTCTGTGCTTGTTGTTACAGATCTAAACCTCATGCACAAATTCTGTTAACTTCAATGTGATTATTATTGGATCCTCTGTTGTAAGGATTTTAAGAAAATTAGACAACATAACCTTGTTTCCTTATAATTTTGAAAACAAATCTGCTTTTTATGTGAATAACAAACACCTGCTACTTACAACAGTAGATAATAACAAACTGAAAGTACTTCTTAAACTGAAGCTTTCTAATGTTGGGTGGAAAAACGATCTCATTGTACTACATTTTTGTTCTGCTCCTGCAATTCTCAGATCAAATTCAGTCTGTTTTCCCCAGGCACATCCTCAGATGTAGTTCAGTCAGCAGAAATCTCTGTGCCTCTTGCACTGACTTCATTAGTGATCAGTCTTCAGTCAGACTTCAGTTGGCACATTAGCTGGTCCTGTAAGACACAAGAGAGACTTCAGCTTGTTCTTTGAAATCTGAGGGGCTATGCAGTATTAGCAGGAATAAAAACACACCATAGTTTGCAGAGCTGTGGCATGAAACCAGGAATATCCGTTTATATTTACACACATGTGTGTGCAAGGAAGATGATTATCAGGAAGTCCAAATTTTTATGTAATCTGTATTCAGATACTTCAATCATATATTTTAAGTTTCAAACTAGGAAGAATATTCTGTTGAATAAATTAATAGCATTGTGCCACTTCTTGCCTAAGACTGCTGTGGAATGTGCATATTTTTTGTGCCACTATTAGTCTGTCCTTCACAAAAGCCAACATCATAACCACATCGTAACACTGGGCAGTGCATTCTGCTCCTTTGAAGAGGCAATGCCAGAGTTTGATGAGTGGGGCCATGGCTTGTGGAAACAGCATTCTAATGAGAAGTGTTGTGTACCTAGAGAAAAAGAGATGCTGCTAGCTCTACCTGGGCATGGGGTGGAGTGTGGGGAGTGCTGCTGTCTTCAAGGCCACCTGAAGAACTTAATGCACTGATGTACCTGCTTGCTCACCGCTTTGCTTTTCCATGTGTGTTTTCCTGGAAGACAAGAGAAGCTCTGTGGCAGCAGTGTGCCATTCAGATCACCCATGCTATCCAGTATGTGGTGGAGTTTGCAAAGCGCATAACAGGCTTCATGGAGCTCTGCCAGAATGACCAAATTCTCCTTCTTAAGTCAGGTGGGTAAACACCAGAGGCTTGAGACTAGTTTAGTACCCAGCACCCTAGAAATGTGCTCTACTGTCTTTCCCTGCAAATAATTTTAATTTTGAAGGAGCCCTAATTTCTGTCTGTTGCATTAAGTACACTAACCTTGCTGTATTTTTCCACCATGATGTTACTGCCTTCTGATCCCCTTTCTTTTACAGTTAGTTATGGTTATTAAGTACACACACACACACACACACACACACACACACACACACACAAAACCATTGCAAAAACTGCAGTCTCCAGCATGACATGTGGTGGAAGGAGGCTGAAAATTGAGGTGGTTGAATCAGTCATCTGCCACCCTGTAAAATCTCCACTTGTCATTAATGAAATGAAGGCAAGCTCACTGGGGCCTGCCTCTGTGGTCATCTTTAATCTTTTTAATGAGACTACAGATATACTCTACAGCCAATGCACAGGAGGGAAAATTCCTGCTGGTGCCAGTTGGTTTCAGAATAAATGAGAGCAGATTACGGCAGAATGCTCCAGCCATGCTCTCTCTGCATGCCATGTTTGCATGTGTGTGCATAAGGGCAAGGGGGAAAAGGCTTTCCTTTCATATCAAGGGACTCAGTAATTTCTTTCCTCCGAAAAAATCCTGACAAGATTTATCGTGACTGTGCAGTAGCACTGCCAAGCCCAGAAGGACAAAATGGCATGACTAAGTGAACCACAAGAGCCATGACTGATAATTAACTACATTTACCCTGTCATATCAGTTTCTTGCTCTGTCCATGTGTAAAAGCTAGGATGCTCTGTGAGGCAGCTTGTTAAAACTTAAGTGCTTCTGTTTGAAGAGAGATCTCTTCACTAAGGCTGAAAACCTGTGTGATTCAGCGCTCCATACACAGAAATCACAGACTATTCTGAGTTGGAAGAGACCCACAGGGAACATCGATGCCAGAATTTGGAAAAAAAAATGGAGACCAAGCCCACAACCCTGGCATTATTAACACCATACTCCAATCAACTGAGCTAACCTCAGTGGCAAAACCAGCATCACAGACTATTCTAAGGTGGAAGGGACACAGCAAGGATCATTGAATCCAGCTCTTAAGTGGCCCATAGGGGAATCAAACCCACAAGCTTGGCGTTAACGTGACTGTCTTGGTAAGGGACTGGGCTCTGTCATGGGCACAGCTGCAAAGGGAAATGATACAGAGGCACAGGGAACACACAGGCAACCTCCTAGAAAAAGGGAGTTATAGCACAAAAACTTTTTTTTTTTTAATCTCCTACTGATTTTGAAAATTCTGCAGATACCAGTGGGCCCCCAGGAAATTTCATTTGACTGGCAAAGCTAACAACACAACTGCACCTTCAGGAAAATATTTATTTCACTCTAGTGTTGGAAAACATTGTTAAGCTATAGCATATAAAAATATGTCAGGTTTTATTTTCTCTTCTGCTGTTAATGCTGACTAGGAGTTAGAAAATGAGGATGTTTCTCTCAAAAGCATGCCTGCAGAAGAATCCTGAGATTCAGGGTTCATCTTACAGGAGATCTGGATTTAGTTAAGGGATCTTAAAAATCTTTCTTCCACTTTCCCAACTGCATATTTTTACAGTTAGGAAATAAGGAGTGCAAAAAAAGAAGTGTTTCTCTCTCTATTCAACAACCGGTAAAAAAGAAAAAGATAAACAAACAAGAAGTAAAACCTATTTTAGGGGTGCTCTTGGCAGCGCTTCAACTTGTACATTCTTTCTAAAAATGCTTTGTGGTGTTCTCCTTCTCCAGCCAAAACAAGCTGGGATTTTTATATGTCTCAAACGAAGCTGCTTTTTGCTATTTAAAAAAATATTAAAACTATTAAAAAGGAGTTTCAATAAATGTCTGTTTTTAGATGGATGGACACTTTGGATAAAGTATTCCAAGCTGAAATTATTTATCCAAGATCTACCTTCAGATTGAGTTCATGCTGTTAATTTTCTGCAAAAGGTGAACAAGTCAACCTATAGAAAAGGTGGTTAGACTGGACCAGAAATGACCCCTTCCTATACTCAAGGCAGACAGAAATATTTTTTCTCACATTCATAGATGTATAATCTAGATGTCTTCAAAGGGTGTCTGTTCCTTCTGGTGTTTTTAATAACTGGTGGCTTCATAAATATCTTCTTGAGATTTTTGTGCTCTGATGTTAGGCAATAATACCCAGTACCTTTGCTCTTTTTTCTGTCTGCTAGGCTGCTTGGAAGTGGTTTTGGTGAGAATGTGCCGTGCCTTCAACCCACTTAACAATACCGTTCTGTTTGAAGGAAAGTATGGAGGGATGCAAATGTTTAAAGCTTTGGGTATGTTGCTCTTCTTTTTTTCAACCAGTTGCAATGAGTCACATAGCAAGAAATTTGTCTTTATGAGAGTTATGATCCACAGTGGAAATCTCCAGTAAACATTGAATCCCTAAGTCTCCAAATGCCCAGGTTGGAACAGAAAAAGAAAAAAAAAAGGTGACTCCATTAGCTGCTAGCAATGATAGGTGTTTTTCTCTAATAAAAGAGAACAGCAAGAGGGTTTTTCCAAATAGATTTCTTGCCTTCTGAAGTTTTAATGAGTCATGCGTTTATGGCAGGAGCCAAGCTGTTTATCTTTACTGTTCAATTACGCTTGATGTATCAAATCCCTCCCACTAGCAGTGTCCTGCAGAAGGCAATTTTAGCCCCAGCAATGAGGAGACTAAAATAATGAGCTGGTACAACTTGCTGAAAATACTGTTCTGCCTAAAACTTTTAAGTAAACTCATTTAGATTCATGTATTGAAAAAATTACTCAGTTTCTCAACATGATATTTAGTGCTACCTGAAATGTTAATAGTGAAATGTTTGTGTTTTGTGCATCCATCAGACTGATATTATCAGAAATTGATACAGGACCAAACTCAAAGAGAGATACTGCCTTCAAATGTATATATTTATCATATTTTTTTTTCTTAGTGTGTATCATAAGCATACTACTTCCTTACAAGTTTAAAGCATCTATGAATGTATATTGATTGATTTATTTTTATCTTTGTGATGCTTTTGCAAATTTTCATAAACATTTTTACTGTTAGTTAGTGAAATTATATATGAATGTTATTTAGGGCTGGTCTTTCCTCCTCCTTAGGTTTAATACCTGTTTAGAAATACCAATTCTTGCCTCAGAGCAAGGGAAAAGAGTATTCTCTTCTAAGATATCTGTGCAATTTTTGTACTTCATCCTAATTCTTGGGTTTGTTGTTTTGGTTTTTTTTCTTCAGTGTACATTTTAGTGCCATTTTCAGGTTTGGTGGAATGTCAGTACTTAATAAAAAGCACTTACTTTAACAGTAAAGAAATTCAGGAACAACTTTTTCTGACACCAAAACAATCCCTGCAGTTTGAAAAGCTGATTTCTAGCATTGGTTTTGTTCTCTTTGGTGTGCAGGTTCTGATGATCTGGTAAATGAAGCATTTGACTTTGCAAAGAATTTATGTTCCTTACAGCTGACTGAGGAGGAGATTGCCTTGTTTTCGTCTGCTGTTCTGATATCACCAGGTAAGTTTTCATTCCAAACACTGATTTTTTTCCCTCTTTATCCAACTCTATTTCTACATACTTAAATAGCTGCTTAAGCTGCATCAAATAATGTTAAGCAATATATTAGGAAGTGGAAGAATGCCTAATTACCCAAATGTAGTATCAGGAATTGCATATAGTGGAGGTAGATCCTAAGTGTAACAAACATGGAGCAGGATTGTACAGACAAGAAATACAGGCTGGCCTTCCTCCAGGCCGTGTGAAAAGAAGCATGTTACTCAAGAGGTGCACAGTTCTCTTAGCTTTTTCAGGGAGCAAAAAATCACCACCCTGAGTAGGTTATATAGTCCATAACTGTGATGGGCTCTTTTCTTGGGAGAAAAGAGCCCATCACAGTTATGTAGACAGTATCACAGAATGCAAACAGTAAAAATTGGTGAGCAGTCCTGTCTGAATTTAGTTCCAGGTGAGAGATAGTGATTAGAAGTGCAACATGCTCTTTTTCATGTATTCATATATCATAACTCTACATAGGCAAGTATGCATTTAAGGGAGTGATGGCTGGCTGACCCCAGAGGAGGTCTGTTTTGTGATTTAAGTTGACTCAGAAGGTGGATCTAGTATACAAGCTCACAGTTTAGTATGTGATTTTTAAATATGCCTCAGAGAATGTAGACACATATTTTCATCTAAGGCCAACCTCTTAAATAGCCTCACAAAAAAAAACACACCATGATTTTTCAAACTTTTTCTGCTGAAGACTTCTTCTAGGTCACCTTGCGCTTTTGCACATCTGTGTTTGAGGTTATTTTAGTCAGAATTAGACTATCACAGATGGTGTCAACATACTCATTCTCATCGTTAACAACACCTACTGAAAGGAATTTACTCCTTTTTTTTTCAGTTTGAGCAGTTCTTGCCACCATCTGCTCAGAAGTGAAATAGTTGAGCCAGTGACTCTTTATAGGGTTACACCAAAATATTGCACCTACAACCCTCCAAACATTGACAATTTCCACCTCAAAGGTGTCCCAACTGTGTGCAGGCATGAGAGCTGCCTCTGCACTACCTCCCCAGATGTCCTGACTTTCTCTGGGAGAGCAATGTCCCGATGGGTCTCTACCCATCATTCCTCTCCCAGTCTGAAAAGATCAAAGCTGGGTGAGTGGCAAAGGGTGATAGCTGTTGGAAAAATTAAGTGGAATCAAAAGTCTGAATAATTTCTGCAGTTCTGCATATGTCCCTTTAGTTTGCAAGCCAGAGGATACATGCAACATCTCTTATTGCTTTAGCTAAAAAAAAAATCAATTAAATGGAACAAAAGTGTTTGGTGTGTGTAACTAGTCCTAAGACACAGCAAGAAGGAAGTTATGGGCTGCAGGAGCATGTGCATGAGTGAAAGCAATCTTTCATCCATAAACAATAAAGAAATATTTCCTTCCACACTTGATGTTCTGGTTCCTTCACAATAAAGAGTTTCATCATGGGAAAAAATTTTAAAATTTAAAAATAAAGCATTGCTTCACAGAAGTCCCTGCACAGTCCTTTCATTGGCTAATACAAGTGTACAAAGATTCTGTATAGGAAGTTCTCATATTCAGGTTTCTTTTTTAAAGTCACCACCTGAAAGGTGATTCTTGCAGCCTTCATCTCTGTGTTTAGGCCCCTTACAGAAACCAGAGCAGTCCACTGGGAATAAGGGCACCTGAGAAGAGCATCCATGAGTAACATCCATCAGTAGTTTTGCAAGTCTTGCAAAGGACATTGTCTCATCCATTTTCCTTCTAATTCAGAGCACAAATCCAGATTTTCCATTTCATGATGGACATAACTACACTGCTTGAAGGTGATTCTCTAGCTTGATTTGTGATTTCAAAAGCTAAATGTTATACAAATTCAGTAAAGGCTGCAGAGGCATCTCCGCCTTCAAACATACAAAAGAGGCATGTGGTAAGACAGGAACATGGCTGGTCCCTTTTGCCTCCTTCTCCTGAGACTTTGACTTGGCATTTTCCTTCCTCCCATCTTCCTTTTGCAAAAGCAGATCTTGTCTGTTTTGGAGCTGTCTCTCATCTTCTTTCCTACACTGTTCTCTAGCCTAGTGGACAGCATACTCTTTGAAGATGGACAAGTTCAAAACCCAAGAGAAAAAGTACACTATTAAATCGTTGCTTCTTATGTCCTTTAAGGTGGTCAGTGATCTACTGACTTTTTCCTGCACTTCTGTGAATATAGCTAGAGTTACCTCTGAAATTCCAGCCAAATTTCCAGATGGTGTTCAGGTGGCAGGAGCCACATTCTGGGAGATAAACTTAGAATCCATTAAAAAGGTTTACCTAGCTCTTGTCATGAATTCAATAACTCTTGTGTAATATACAGCGTGCTTCATGACAGGTGAGTGATGAACCTGTCTTTCCACCACCTCTGTCTATTTTTAACCTTATTCTTGTGAAGAAAGGTAAACCTTTAGGGATTGGTCTCTATGGTAAATGTTTCTATCTCCAGTCTGCCACAACAGGCATTAATTTAAACTATTTAAAGACCAGGTTTTGCAATAGCATAAAGTTTGGCACCTAACCTGTGAAGTCTAATCATAACTGTGTGCTTATTGCGTAGAAAGAGCATGTGTTCTCAGCTAATTCTGTTTATGAGGCCACTGATGACTCAGGATCCATTGGCTTACCTTCAGGGAACATAGTTCTCTAATGTTTACAAAATGCTGTTTTCTTTTCCAGATCATCTGTTAAGTAGCTGAGGTTTGGTTTCTTTCCTTTTCACAGTAGTTGACAACCAACTCTTTTCCTACATCCCTAGCATCCTGTTTTAAACAAATAGATGCAGAGCCAACACTGTGTTCCTCTATGGTTTTTGTGTGTTAATTAAGTGCTCAGGTGATCCTTTAATGGGTTAAGACACTTTGCCTCTGAAACCCTGTCTTCAATTACGATGCAGTCCTCCCTCATGAGATTTACGATTCCTGTGGATATTTGCCAGCGCAGTGTACACTGTGTGCACCATGAGCATGCCCCACATACGTGCATTCTTTAACATTCATTTTCCCTTTTCTCAGATCGAGCTTGGTTAATAGAGCCAAGGAAGGTCCAGAAGCTTCAGGAAAAGATTTACTTTGCACTTCAACATGTTATTCAGAAGAACCACCTCGATGAGGAGACATTGACAAAGGTAAGTTCTTTAAACAAAATACCAAGCAGTCCTCAAGCATGACTCTTCTCTTTCTGCAGCCTTTTCTGTATGTATTGCCACATTAATGTAAGCTAAAAGAAATGCAGTTTTTCTTACATGTGTAGAGGCTTGTCTGACTCTTGTCCCTGTTGCCTCTTACTCCATTTTTTGTTCAATACACCAGTAATTTTAATTCATACCTTGTAAAGAATGTGACTCTCTTAAAAATGCGCTTGTTGAGACTGTTCCTTGTTAGATGCATTTTCAGCCCTTGGCTAAAACTTTGGGGGCAGCTGTTTCTAGGCTCTTACAGTAAGAACAATGTCTAGTCCTGTGGGTTGGTTTTGATGGATCTTAGCTTTCAGTTACTCAGCAAGAAGGTAACATAGTTTGTTTTGGAAAGTGTAATTTATACAAAATATGCTTCCACATTCTTCCCTTTTTTTTTTTTTGTTTCAATGTCTTACAGTTAATAGCCAAGATACCAACGATTACTGCACTTTGCAACTTGCACGGAGAGAAACTGCAGGTATTTAAGCAATCTCATCCAGACATAGTGAACACACTGTTTCCTCCATTATACAAGGAGCTTTTCAATCCAGACTCAACCACTGGCTGCAAGTGAAGGGGATAATAGAATTTTCACGTAGTCATGGAATGCATCACTAGTAAGACAAAGAGAAATGTTTTCATGAAGAAATTATTAAAAATGTCACTACTGCAACACTAGGAATGTCCTGCACTTAATAGAATTATTTTTCACCGCTACAGTTTGAAGAATGTAAATATGCAACTCTGAGTGGGGATGTCTTTTTTCTCTTTTGTTTACTTTTCTTTTTTTTTTTAATTTTTGAACTGACAATGAATATACAAATATAGGACACTGGATGTTACCTTTTTTTTTAATTTACTTTTATTGAGGGATGTTTTGGGAGACAACTGTTCCTAGAATTTTATTGTAGATATACATGATAATAGAGCAGTACTTTGCAGTATTACTCTTGCTGTTTATTGTTAAAATATAATTTAAGAAAATTCCACTTATTAGACTGCCTAGTTCTATGTTTTTAGATAGTTTAATGCATGTGGTAATTTGTAGCTGTCTTGGAAATTATGGTGCATATATGGAAGACACACACACTCACATATATATACATATATACGTGTATGTATGTATGTATGTATATACATATGTATGCATTTTCTGCATACATGCTGTAACTTAAAATCACATGCCTACATTTAAAGGATGCTCAACCCAGCTGTCATGTATTTCATACTCTCCAAGTAACATATTAGATTTACTTTGGGCAATCAAGATTCTCTTTGCCAGAGTTAAATTGTCAGCTGCCAATGTGTAATGACAGGATCACTTCTGAGATGTGTGTAATGTAGTGCATGTGTGCTGTGTGTAAATCAAACAGCAGGAATGTATCAATGGTGCAAAAGCCTTGTCTGGATGGTTTTAGTGAAAAGAGGAATAGGATTGGTTTTTTTTTAATTTTCTCACTGTTACAGGGATGGAACATATATAAAAGTGAACATAGTAGGACCTGATCTCAGTAAAGTATCTGAAACATGGAGTAAAAATGTAGACAATCCCGTATGTACATTTTTGTGATTTCACACATGATTTTGTTTTATATATACTGCTTTGAAAAGTGGCTTCAAGTCTTGGTTTGTTTTTTGCTGAACTCATTAGAAAGATAGGTAGTAATCTCAGTGAAAACCATGGCAAGCCTAAAATGTATCTCTGAAGAGGAAGGAAAGGAGGGAAGGAGGAAGTAAGTCAAAAGTGAGTGAAATCCATGGTTACGACAAACAACAGTGTAATTGTCACTGTTTCTGATAGTCATCATGGGACTGATGGTTTCCATTACACTCATACATCTGTGTATGTTTTAAACACATGCATATATGTATGTATAAATCTGTATGTATATAAGTGTATATATATATGTGCATATATAGGATTTATTTTAGATGCATTTCAGGAGTGGAGCAAAGGATTGGAACTTTCTTTTTCTGTCTTTCTCTGAATTGACTGTACATGCATTTGCTTGCAAAACCAAAGGCAAACACAGAGAGGAGTGGAAGGCTGCCATGGAATTAATCTTGTGCATTAATTAATTAAGTTTAATCAGCAGTCATTATTAATGTATCTGCATTCTACCAGTAGTACAAAACACAGATGTTTTAGCTTTGAAAGAGGGATTCAGCTTCTGCAGCATCTCTCTTTACCACCCTTTTACCCATTGTGAACTTTTTCAGAGCAGTCTCCTCTTGGGATGCCAGCGAAGGGCATAGAGCAGAAATAAGAAGAAGCAGGCAGTAGAGAAGAAAAGAAGTGAAGGCAGGATCACAAGCAGATATATTTCTTTATTTCAAACCACGCAGAAGCTAGTGTAATCTGAGGCAAGGCAAGGGGAAGCATAAAGGACCTGCCCGTTTGCCAGGCTCATGGAGGGGCAGTGTCACAGGGAGCCCACAAGGGACACAGGTGGGCCCAGGGGTGGGTGAAGGAAATCAGTCTGTTGTAGTGATAACTTAATGCCTTGTGTGACTCTGGTGTCAGGCTTCTGGTTTTTTGCATGAGCAGATAATTCACAGGCTATTTCAAGTACTTTGAGGAGCTCTCCCTTGCCTTCTATCAGTCAGTTTGCAAGTTTGTATATGTATTTTTGGCAGAATCAAGTCTAGAGAATATCACTATTTGTTTGTTCTGCTTTGGCAATGCCAGAACAGGTACAAGAGTAGTTACAAACTCTCAGCTAATAAATGTTTCTGTGCAGGTCCATTATAACTTAGAAAAAAAAAATCCGTCGAGCACATTTACTTGTATTTTGTGGCAAATGTGACGTACTCTTCAAAATTGCTTAATGGTATAGAACAGCAGTTACTAAAGTTGCCTTTTTACTCCAAATTCAGAGCACATTTCTCTAGTAACTGACTTAAAATATCTTCAATTAACATAATAAAACATTTCTGTGGTGCTTCTTTATACCATTCTAACTGGAAGACTGACATTCCTTTATATGGTGACTTACCTGTTTGCAGCCCATTTTGTATGGGAAATCCAAGAAAGGGATCCCACATTTCAAGTAGGTGTCTATCAAAATTTAATGTCTATGTAACGTTTCTGTAGATTTATCAGGGGAAAAATTGAGTCATATTGAACTCTAGAAGTGCTCAGTTTTAATTGCAGGGGATTCATGTTTTTCTTGATTTCCCAACACAAGAACACACACATATTGTTTGAAGTATTTTATAAATTCATTTACAGTATATCAAAAGTATATCTTTAGCAAACCCATAGAAATATAGAATAAGTGATAAATACTACTGTTTGGAGTGCTGCTTAATAAAGAGGTTTGTCATGTTTATAAATAGTCCTTCACAATTTGTGTTACATCTTGAAAATGTTGTTTTCTTCTCCAATAAGCTAATCACTCCTTGGGATTTTTTAATTATTTCTCAGGCAAGATAACTAAATGGAAGTCACCAGTGAAAATAACACTAATCATTATCTACAGGGCCTTTAATCTTTAAAGCACTATTCTTATATCACTGCAATGTCATGATCTTTTCAATCAGTAGTGATTATGATCACATTTTAAAGATATGGAAATGAAAGAAAAAAGGTTAAGTAACTTGTGAGAGACCACAAACGTAGAAATATCCAGTTTAGAAATAAAAGTGGATTCTTGGCTTTTGTCCTAAAATTTCTAATACTCTGCCATACAAGATCTTCATTGTTGTTGATAGGCAATAACCTCTACCGAGATTTTTATGTATTGCCAAATAAATTTTTGTTACTATTAGTACAGGATTTGAGCAAATAGTGTTGTGGTTTACTTGGAAAATGAAAACTCATTTTCAAACACTATTCATTTATGGAACTGTGCAATTGGATTTTATTTAATTTTCTGTCACTTGGGCTTGGCCACATAGGTATAGTACCTGTTTTGTCCTTCATTGACTGAATGTAGAAAAACACATGATGATCACATGCCACAGGCTGGAGTTTTGTGATTGGTTTTGCTGACACAGTCACTTACTCTCAAAATTTCAATTTCTTGATATTGGACTTCACATATTCAAGTTGTCCGTGGAGTTTTATGGATAAAATAACATGAATTTTAGTAAATAACTCAATAATTCACAATATTAGTTCTTCATTTTAGTTTTTTTGGCCTTCAGTAGTCCACGGTAAAACCTGAAACTTTTCAAATAAGTGTCTAAAATTTGTCACATTTTTTTCTGTAGTAACTGGATATATTTGTTGATTTTTTTAGTGACAAACTTTTCAAACGAGACATATTTTTTAATGATTGATTAACCTGGGACCTGTAAGAAAAGCATATATAAAGCATGTATTTAAAGTATGTATTGAATCTACTATTTCTAGCATTGCTTTCGATTAATTCAATCATATTATGCTAAATTACCCTTGGCATTGAGGAAGCAGATGTACAGTGTCCATTATACCACCACAAAGACTTAATTTTGCTGTAAATATCTCTCTTGCCTGCTCTTTTTATAAAAAATTAATTCTAAGATTCATATTTCCTTCTAATGGAAATTTTTAGAAAAGAAACATGGTAGTAGAAGGCACCTCAGTTGAGAAAACCTGTTTCTGAAAGCAACATACGGTTTTTGATGGGCTTGTGAATGAACAACTTTAATGAACTGATTCTGCAAGTTGTCAGACACTTAGCTCTAAATAAAGTCAATAAAAATTGAGGCATTTCAGCAAAGAAGGTGCTCAACTGATAGCAAGACTGGGAGCCCTTGGCATTAAGAGGTCCCTCTTGAGCTCCGTTGAGCAGAAGGCAGATATTGCTCTCCTAAATGCGTCGACTTCATGCTCTGTGTTGTTCATTTCAGCCCAGTTTCACAGGGGTCACTTTATTCTCCTGTTGCACCTTGGGCACCTGTGCTGTTTCAGTACCTGTTCCAGGTTATGGTGCTGAGGTGGAGCAGCTACCAGAGCTGCTCATGAAGATGAGCTTTGTTATGTCATTTTCTTTGTTCGGTTTCACTGTGCCAGATTGCGTAGAGGTATGTTTCTCTTTGGGACAGTTTGCAGGATTTCTGATGTAACAACTTCTACACAAAAAGGATGCAAAGCTGCTCCTGTGTGCTAGCCTCTTGGCCTCCCTCTACCAGGCTGTACAAGCTTCTCTAAGATTGCAGCAGTCTCACAAACTGGTCTGGCAGCTTAGCTAGAGATGTGCAGCTGATGGCTCCTTTCCCTGTTGACTTTTTGACCCCTCTGAAGCTGTGTTTCAAACATCATTTGGAAGATGTTCAGGCTCCCCCAGTCCTCCTCTTTGCTCCTGACTCTGCATTGGTTGTGCTGTTTCTAGAAGAGCTAAGGTCCAGCCTGGAAGGTGGTTCCTATTTTCATCATTGTCTTTTGGACATCCCAGGAATATAGCACATAAGATCAAGCTGAAACACAAAAGATTTTTTTTTTGTCCAATTCATTATATCTAAGGATGCGTGAAATGGAACTCTGAGACAGACAGCTTGCTTTTCCCTGGCCATAAAATAGTAGTCTATTTACGCCTACCAGCCCGTCCCAGCAACTTCTGCCTACACTCTAGAAACTAAATCCTATCTCTGACATCCATTAGAAACAGTGTGCTGGATGCCCCGTCCTCATCTTTACTCTTTAAGTTTCACGCTTCATAAATGACAATCACTGCTTGATGCGAATGTTGCACTCTATGCCACTCAGGGATGTTTCATTACTGAAAATAACTGTAAATAACAGTGATAATACAGAAGAGAATGTTAGAGGCTTTGAAGGGCATGGGTTGAGCTGCCCAAGTGAACATGACCCAGACAAGGCTTTCAAGCCAATGATTAGAGGTAACATTGTTATAAACTGAATTCACTGTCAGCATTTCCTCAGCTTGATCTGTCAGACTTTGCCTGTTGTTTCACAGTCAGCAGAGTCCTACTGACCCATCAGCTCATGTTGTTAAGGTCCTTTTAAGAACAAAGTATAAGCAAGCTTTGTATGAATTACTGACAAATGACAAATTTCAAAGTACTCAGATTATGTATCATTAATGTGAGCTCATATTCAGACTTGCTGCAGGCATGTAAGAAGAAAGTTTAAGACATGGAATAAGTATGTCAGCAATGACAAGAGTACCGAGCTAGGACATGGAGAAGTGACTGTGAAGAACACGCAGACATGAGCGAGTGGCTAACAGCTACCATTTTCTCTCAGGGATGCACAAAATCATAGCTAGCCCACGACTCTGTAGCAATGCTTCTCCATGGTATGATTAGTTCCTTTCTCACATCAAGAAAACATTACCCCATTTTATACTGTGCTAGTGAAAAGTACTCCCACTTCCTAGAGTTTTGAAATGTGCTTATCCCTAGCTTTACACCACAGGTTTTCTGTCATTACAAGAACACACACAGAAGGATAAATTGAGGTGGATTACTTTGCCAGTCATTAATTCCATGTCTTCAACCAAGAGGTTTTCCTCAGCTCTGAATATGATCATTGCTCCTGTTATCACAGTGAGTATGTGTGGTTTTTGACTCCTTCAATCCTCTGAACTCCCTCCACCTAGAAGACTGATGGACAGCTTCAGAAGGTGAAGAGGCCAGTGTCACTGCATCAGGATATTCACTATCATATTCTTTGCCAAGCATCCCATTGCAATTTTTATTTTGATCCTTCAGGTTGCTAGGAGCCATGTCCAAGTGACTGAAGTTCTTGTTAGCATGATAGCTTCCCATTAAAAGGTTCAGTCTTATGCTCAGAGGACCTATCCTCTCTTTCCTCTTCCTTTTACTCCTAGCTCCTAGTGAATGAGGCTTGGAGTAGTAAGTCACTCGTCTTCATTCTGTCTCAAAGTTGATCAGTACTTGCAACCTGCAAGGGAAACTCCACCCAGATGGTAGAAAGGAAGCTCCTTCCTCCTCTTCCTTCATGCTCCCACTTATCTGTGTTGTGCCTGTATGCATCGTCCTTGCATGAATTGTCCCTGCATGACTGTGTGACAATGAGCCCAACACTCCAGTAAGTTATCCCAGTTGTTTGCAGCTCCAAAAGCCACTTATATATGCAGTCTGCAGACAAGAGTCATTGTGAAAAGAAGAGGCCTAAAACTTCTGCAGTGGTAGCTCACAGGTAACTCTCCTAAAAAGGCAGGCTGAACATGCAGGGGCAGCTGTGTCTGTGTCCTCCAAATGACCCTTGCATTGCATTTCTGTTGAGAGGATAAGGCAATGAACAAAATGCTCTGGGAAAGGAGAAGTATTTCCTGGGTGTTACTGCAGGCAGTGAGTATAATACTGCTCACAGTGAGTTCAGTAACATGATGTACTACATTCGCATAATTTCATCATCCTCACAATTCAAGCACATCACATAGGGAAAGTGAAAGAAAACAGCATTGGATATAGCAGCAATAAGTAAATTGTAATTGTTTCTCTGTAGCTGTACTTGCAGAAATTGTTTGCTTTGCACGTGGTCTTCTGTACAATAACATAAAGAGAAAAATCAACTAATGTAGATATCATGGTGATTTTGCATATTTTTTGATTTGTTGGATATAGCTGCTAATTTATGAATGAAGATACTGCTGTTGAGAAAATTTTTTGTGCTTCAAGAAAATGCTGAGGTCCTTGTTTATGACTATACATGGACAGCAGTAAAGTATGTTCAATATAAGACTCTGGAGAGAATTTAAAAAATGGCTCCTTCTTAAGAACACACTGGGCCCTTATTTGGGCAACAGGAATGCAACTGAATTGAAACACAAGCAGGAGCAGATGGTTAACCACCAAGAACAGGAAAGAACAGGCTTTACCTTGACAACTGTTTTAGATAAAACCAGCTTATTTGGAAAAAAAAAAAAAAAAAAAAAAAAAAAAAAAAAGGCACTTATATTTGTCTTGATTAGACACGCAGCTTAATTAAGTCAAAGTAACTACATTAGGCTGTTGACTTTGGGGATTCAGATTCAGATGCACTACATTTGTGGTTTTTTTAATGTGTCACTTCAATGTCAGAATCAGGCAAAAAAGGTGTTTTGTTGTTAGTAAAAAAAAAAGCTAATAATCATTTAACCCTACGGAGTGTGGACCACATTCTCCTGCAGTATATGGGGATTTATGCGTGCACTTATTTTTAAAAAGCCACTGAGTAGCATAGACAGTGAACTAGCCATGATAGTCTTTGCCTCTTGTGTGACTGCCATGTGACCTCTAGTACACTTTCGGGAGCAGCTCTGTGATTGTACTTGTGGCAACAAATAAAGCACAACTGAACTCTAAGCTGTTATCAACGCTCAGCTAAATCAAATACATTGGGTATTTTGAGATTTATGCTAATCGCTATAATTCCCATGTCAAACTAATTACTTCAGTTGTAATGAATGGATGACATAAAGAATATAGGAATATTAACAGCAACAAAATCCCTTATTTTACAGCTGCACTCTCTGCCTCATTTGATTAACACTAAAGAACTTACTTAAAAACTAAACAAACAAGAAGAAAGAAACATGAGTATGTATTGTAGAAATGTAGAAGACAAATAAAATATTTTTTCATATGTAATTACTTTTAATATATGCTTGTGGAACGTCCAATACTATGTATGCTGTCTCTGTAATTTTTGCTGTAAATAACTTGGGACAGTGAATACACTGATTTTTTCTATGTCTTTGTTTAAACATAAGACTTTGTAATGTTGGCTTTTTTTTAAAGAGGAAAAACATCAAAGATCAAATTATGTACTTGCTTCCTGTAAGTGTAATTACTCTTCAGTTTTTATGGAAACTGATTGTAATAGATAAAGCCTTTTGATCAGCCGTTGATATTTAGTGTACACTTCTGTTCATAATTTGGAAACAAATGTGGGATTGTCAGTGAAACAGGATCCCAGCAAGTCTGTACAGTGAGTATTGTAATAATTTCTGCAGACTGTGTTTGACTGATTTGAAGAAAAGTTGTTCAAGCAAATAATGCTTCCTTATAGCATATGGCTTTTATGAATCCTTCTCACATTATTTATATTAATAGAAACATTTCTGTCTTTCCAATGAGCAAAATATTTTTGTATGCCTTTAATTTCTTATTCAGATTTGAGGTCAGGTCACTCATTAGCTATAACCTGAAGCCATAACTAATCTTCACCAAATGTACATTTTAAAGATCATAATGGAGAAAAGAAACTATGTCCAGTTTATCAACAGCTGTAATGTAATACAGGCAGGAGCATAAATAATTAGCAAAGTACTTAGATGCTATTCTGGCATCCAAATGTGACTTTAATGGCTAGTATTTTGTGATTACCAATTTATAAAAAATAAAAAACATAATTAAGATAGATATTTAGATTTAAATGAAGCTTTCTAATATTTTTGGAATATCCCTGAAAATGTTTTTAGGATTATGAGAAGAAATGATTTTTCATATACTTCCCACTTTCAAATATCTAATGTTTTTATCCTATTTCCACTTCATTTTGTTAGACTGAAATGAGATGTTAAGAATCCAAGATCCAAGCCCTGAGCTATTTGGTGCTTGGCTGTAGTTATATTGTTGTAAATCAATTTCATTTTAATTTTAGGAGTGTGTTGTTTTTTATTTGGTAAGCATGTTTACCACTGTTGGTAACACACAAGAGTTGCATTGCCTGTCAAGAAGTATGATAATAAACAATCTAATAAAATAATGAGTAACACTCAAAATTAATCACTCTCAAAAGATAAATAAAAGTTCCTTTCTAAAATAAAATGCCTCATAGAGTCAACAGTGATTTTTTTTTATTTTTTAATAAGCTTAATTGTGTAATAACTGTTACGTATCTTAACTGGCTTGTAGATGCAAATAGCAGAACTGTAAATGAATCATGATGTACTGGGTAAAAATCTAGCTCCCTTGAAACCAGTGGCAAACCCTTCAGTGATTTCAATGGTGCCCAGGAGTTCATCCAGCATTTTTACATCTGCAAATCTTTTCTGACCTTTCTCCCTTGTTTAATATAATTGACCTAATTTATGTGTCTGTGAGTAAAAAGACAGCCTGATTCATTTAGAAAGTGACCACTGAGGGTTTTTTTATCATGAACATTGTAGGACCAGTATCCATGTCAAATGAAAAGGTTCTATATTACTTTAGAATGTAATAGATCTTTGTCTTATTTTATGAACTGTAAATTATTAGTTAAACACTGTTAGCATTTCATAATAATGCACACATGATTTTTGAATGTTTTCTGTAAATGACAATCAATGTTGATGAAGTTCCTTTCTTTAATGCAAAATTAAAAAAAAAAAAAAAGAAAATAAATTCTGTTGTGGGTTTTGGTTTGGGCTTTTTTTTTCCTGTCCCTTTAAATTATCTGTATCAGGAAAAGGTACAGTGTGTGCATTTTCAAAAGAGAAAATATTCCTTAACATCATGTGTCCCTACCCTCAGCAGAGGAGTTTTAACTATACCAGCTTTGAGATCTCCTTCCAGCCATAGCCATTCTAAGATCATATGATCAGGTGCCTGTACTTTCAAGGGTTTTCCTAACCAATGGAATTAGTTATGTAGCATGTTGTGACATCAACTGATAGTAAAATAGCTTTGTTTTACATTTTAAGTTACAGCTGTGACTTTTGAATATGGAAATTGCTGTACTTACTAATTTATTTCTCTGTTTATTTGGGGGAAAGCTTCAGCTAGTAGAAAAGTGAAACAACATAGAAACAATTATATGACAGCAAACTGTGCAGTAGTGTAACAGAAGGTTACTTTATTTAAAAGAATATATTGTATTTTAAATGGTCACTATGTCGAATATTTTTTAAGTCTTTGTATGTCTACCTGACAAGGCTGTAAGCAATAACTTTCAATGATACTAACTTTAAATTTTTAGGACCCTAAATTTAAATCAGAAGTAAATTTAAAAACAGCAATATCAAAAGACCTCATTTTGCAAACTGTTAGGCACATGTTTATTAGTGTATTGACCTCAGTAGGCTTAATGCACTGTTTACACTTAAGCCAGCTATGTTTAAATGTTTTTAACATCTGTGGGAAAGTGACTGAGACTACAAAGATAACAGTACAGAAATTACAGGGGAAAATATGCTTGCTACTCCTGGGTGGAAGGCAGTCAGCATACCTGACCTCCCAGCCACAATGCAATCTGTGAGGTGTAAATGGTGGGAGGAGTGGAGACACCCCAACCAGGCTCTGTCAAAACTCTTGAGAAGAGGGAGCTCTGTGTCCTCTCCAGCTGAAAACCCTCCAGCAGCTTAAGAGCAGAAGGGAGAAAGGGAGATGTCCTGCTCTGGAGTCAGCGGCTGTGGGGAAGGTCCCTGACACAGCTCCCCATCCCGGGCTTATCTCAGGTGCTGCCAGGGATATCTGCCCTCAGGGTACACCCCCTGCTCACGGAGCAAGGTGTTGGACAGCCAGCAGTGGGTGCAGATGTGGAGGCACAGGAGGGGGAGTGACCCTGACCCACCCCTGACCCACTGAATTGCTCAGTGAAGGGTCCCTGAGCTGGCAGGCATCAGTCACAGGGGCCGAGGCTTTCCTGGGGCACTGACAGACCATCACATACAGAGTGAGGGTTTGAGCAAATCTCCCCTTTACACTTGACAGCGCCACAATACAGATAAGCGAGTTTGGGTTATGAGATGATGCAAGTGCAGCTTAGCTTTATTCGATTTTCAAGTCCCAAATATTTAAGTCTCATTTCAAGGTTTCATATCAGTTTAAAAAAAAAATTCAGACAAGTGTAATGGGAAGTTCATATATAAGCATTTTTATTTCAGATATGATGAAGCTGAAGACTTTACTAGCCATATGGAATAAATTAAGTGCTGCATTTACACACATTATTTTGAGACACAGTTATATAAAAGTCTTTACAGGGCATAGCTTACTACACTATTGTGCTGGTTAAACGTCATTTAATATTTCAGTGTGTGCAGGCTCACAACAGATCTCCTTCTACAAGAATGAACTATTTTATACATTTTCCTGCTGTTCCTCATGGCTTTCTCCAATACATGGACATTTGGAATAACCTATGGCAACTCCAGTGTAGCTGTGCGCTGGTGTTCAGATGTCCATAGAAAGTTTTGGTGCACAACATTCACATTTAATATGAATGCCTGGAATTTTGGGTGTACAAAAGTAATCAGATTGGACACTATAAGTGATTTAGAAATAATTGCTGTGATTTGCTTTCAAAATCAACAGTAACTGCATTACAGAGCTTAAGAGAGCACTTCCATGATCAGTAGATTCAGCTCAGTCCTAATAAAGTGTCATGTAATGTGTTTCCAGTTCCACTAACTAATCAATAGCAGATTTGAGCAAATGCTGAATTAGTCTGGAGTTTCCTCAGACTAATAAAAGAAGCCTTATCAGAGGGCTTTAAAAATTGCATCATCTATCCCGGTGGGTTTTTTGTATTTCGGCATTCAAAAATGCATTCAGTTATAAAGACAGCATCACTAAAACCAGTTGTAGTTGATCAGCTTTGTGTGGCTCCTCTGGATGACTCAGTGATTGACACAGACAATATTTATTATATCCTTTGCTTCTTTGTGACAGCATGTCTTGGGGCGAGCCACCCATGTGTGGGGACACGAGGCTTGACTCCATTTTGCTCAGAAGGCTGATTTATTATGTTATATATTATATTAAAATACTGCATTAAAACTATACTAAAAGAACAGAAAGAGAGGAAGATCAGAAGGCTACACAGAACAAGAATAGAATCGAATGCATAACAAAAATCCTGTGACTGCTCACAGCCTTGGCACAGGTGGCTGTGGTTGGTCACTAATTGAAAACAATCCACATGGACCAATGGAAGATGCACCTGTGGCATTCCACAGCAGCAGATAGTTATTGTTTACATTTCTCTCCTGAGGTATTCAGCTCTCAGGAGGGGAAAAATCCTAGGAAAGGATTTTTCATAAAATATCATGGCTACAAGCATGTCACGCATGTAACACTATAAGTTTTAGCAAATACATGCTTGGTATTCGTCTACCAATAAAAATTTACTGTCAGCTTAGAAGTTAGGTCAGTCATTTATTCTAGGCTTGTAATTTCCAACCCTCTCCCAATTTTTCTTGCAGCAATGCATTCAGGAGCATTGTTACATCAAATGGAAGGTCATCAAATGACGTCCTGGAAAGTTAGTGGTATTTGCATGTGTGTGCTTTTTAAACTCATGCCATATAAAAAGAAATCACTACCTCCTCTGTGACAACAAAGATGTGTGCTTAAGTCTGAGTGTAGCTACACATGGACCTTCATCATGTACAGAGCATTTTAGCAGCCAAACATAGTGTGGAAAAATGCTGTCTTAAGGAATTTATATTTATGTTCAAAAACTAAATCAAAATACCTTTCTATAGATAATTGAGATGCGTACTAGGAAATGACAACACCACCAAGTTTAAATACTGTATTTTAGTGTTGCTGACTCTGATCATGGATTACTCATTTCTAGGCAAACAGATAATTTGACATCTGTATATATATTTAGCTATTTCTTGCCAGCTTTGCAGAATAAGCACTGATTTCATCTTTATTTCAAGATTTTCAGATAACATCACATAAACACCTATTGTCTTGGCAATTACTACCTCATTCTCTTGCTTCCATCTGGATTATTAATGAAATCCACTCTTCTCCCTGAAAGCAGTGATTGTTCCAGCATCTCAGTGACTTGTTCTGTGCAGGTTAGTCAGAGCTGTAACAACCTTTACATTATTAAGGGAAAATTCAGCAGTCCTGTGATTTCACTGTAACAATATGCTGAGAAGCTGTGGCTGTTCACAAATCAGGATTTAGA